GAAGATTTGTTCGTTAATTAGGTGCACAATTTTCACTGCTCACCGAAAATGACTCTATTGTCAAACCCTGTTATTGTCATCACCGTGGCATTGAGTCAGTTTTGACTCATAGCAACCCCATGGTGAGACCAGCAGAACTGCCCGATAGTTTTCTCGGTTGTCAACAAACTAGCAGGTCTTTCTCCCGCGTTGTCCCTAGGGGAGAGTCAAAGCGTCAACCTCGCAGCAGACGAGGGCTGGATTTTTGCACCACCAGGCACTCTCCTCGTGGGCTCTAAAGACATTAGAAGTTCAGGATTTGGTTTCTCAACTAAGTGCTTTTTCTCCATGCTGTTCTTTTCAAAGAGAGCTCTCCAATGTCAATAGTAATGATTGGTCATGTCTACGGCGTGTCTACTACATACAAAAGAAAAACAATTTGGAAGCTTGATAGGACTTTTTAATTCTCCAGCAAGCCATGAAGGACAGGTCTGTTATGGTGATGTGCTGTCCAGTCCCTTCTGACACAGGCAACACTGAAGGAGAGAGCAGATTCCCCCATAGGGTGTCTAAGGCTATGGAAAGGAAAGGCTGCAGGGGTCCCTGGTGGTAGAGTGGGTTACAGGTTGGGTCACTGACTACAAGGTGAACCAATGAAACCCATCAGCTGCTCTGAGGCAGAAAGATGAGGGGATCCGTTTCCATCAAGATGTACAGTCTGGGGGACCCTACGCAGCGGTTCTCCTTTGTCCTATAGAGTCAATGAGAGTCAGGATCAACGCAGTGGCAGTGAGCTTGGTTTTGTTTGCGGGGGAGGGGGAGTATAGTTATGGAACCAGATCATCAGGTCTTTTCTCTCTTGAAGCCGCTGCTGGGTGTAGGCAGCCAGTTTGGGGATAGCGACCAAGTGCTTACCTGCTGCATCACCAGGGCTCCTGAAAGAAGATCCTATTATTGTTGTTGTTAGGTGCCATCAAGTTGGCCCCAACCCAGAGTGACCTCTGCAGAGCAGAATGAAACACTGCCCCGTCCTGCACCATCTTCACAGCTATGTCTCTGCTTGCATCCGCTGTCGCAGCCACTCTTGTCAATCCATCTCCTTGAGAGCCTTCCCTCTCTTGCTGCCCATGCTATATCCAGGGGCTGGTTTTCCCGACAACAGGTCCAAAGCAGGTGAGATGAAGTCTGGCTGTACTCCATCCAGGACGGACAGGTTTGTCTTTGTGGCAGTCCAGAGCACTTTCAGTATTCTTCTCCAGCCCCTCGGTTCCAATTCTTCTTGGGTTTTTCTTACTCTGAGTCCAACTTCCACATGCATAGGAGGCAACTGAAAATACCTTTGATTAGGTCAGGTACCCTTTAGTCCTCAAAGTAATATCCCTACTTTTCAATACTCTCAAAGAGGTCTTGTGCAGATTTCACCGATGCAAAACATCTTTTGGTGTCTTGCCTGCTGCTTCCATGAACATTGATTGTGGATCCAAGCAGGACAAAAACCCTTAATGGCTTCAATCTTGTCTCCATTTGTCATGATGGTCCAGCTGTGAAGATTTTGGTTTTCTTCACATGGAGCTGAAATCCAGACTGAAGGCTGCAATCCTTGAGCTTCATCAGTAAGTGCTCCTAGTCCTCACTTTCAGCCAGCAAGGCTGCGTCATCCGCATATCAAGGGGTGTTAATAAACCTTGCACCAAACCCTGGTGTCACATTCTTTTTCATATATTCCAGTTTCTCCGATTGTTTGCTCTGCACACAGATTGAACAAGTATGGTGAGAGGATAGAACCCTGAAGCCCACATTTCCGGATTTTAATAATGCAGTAGTCCCTTGTTCCGTTCACGCAGCTGCCTCTTGGTCCATGTGCAAATCCACAGGAGCACAATGACCCACTAATGACTAACCAGGAAACTGAGGAACAGAAAAGCTAAGTAACTTGCCCAAGATCTCCCAGTGACTGAGTCAAGACTTGAATCCAAAAACTAAGAAATCCTCTCACAAACCATGGCACTACCCTGCCTCTCTGGGACCTGGCCTCACTTCTCTTTGTAAGGAGAAAGCAAAGGCAATTCTAGTTGAGGACACATACTTAGCAAACACTCTTTGGTCAGCTGTCAAATCTTACATTGAACCATCTTCAGGGGAAAAAAAATATCTGTAGACATGAAATTGTGTGCAGAACATTCTAATAAGCCCTTGAGATCAATTTTAAAACCATTTGCTATTCTGATTGTGGCACTCCTAAAAAAAAAGTGTGCACAAACATGCTTTTCTAAATGTAGTTCTTCTTAAAACAGGCAACTCAACACTTAACAGAGCTTGGCTTTATATTTTGTAAATTTAAAATGCTGTTTTGATGAAAAGAAATTGTTGATCTGGGCCCATGGGCACCTCGTGCTACAGAGTGAAACCACCCCCTAGAGTTTTCTAGACCGTAACCTGTACTGAAGCAGGTCACCCACCAGGTCTCTGTCCCTTGGAGCTGTTTAGTGGATTCAAATCAGCAGCCCTTTGGCTGACAAGTGAGGGCTAGACTGTTGTTCCACCAGGCTTACCTTAATTTTTGTTTCATATGTGAATTTCCTGACTGGTGAAATAATGAAATTTAACACCATCCATTTCCCCAAATCACTGATATGACTGTATCAGTTTAAACTACCTTTCTAATCATTGGAGCTTCAGAAATTCCTGTGCTTTTTTATACCAAGTAGATACATAGTTTATTTTTTTAAATGTTTTCTAAATTACCATCAGGAACTCAGCAATTCAATATATTTTAAATAAATTCTCCCAAACTCATGAGAGTCGTTTTCTATACGCCTTACAGACTTTTAGAAAGGCCTTTTTCTTTTTTCTCATCTCACCTTAGCTCACTGCACAGGTGAAGGGGTTAATGTTCTCTGCCCTCCGTCTGAATCCCCCTGCTTTCTCCTTTCCTTCCGCTTACAGGGTCGACTGCTCTCCGGCGCTTCCAACTAAAGCACAGTTCCTGGATCAGCCTTTGCAATTCTGGAAATAACTCTAAAAATCTGAGGAGAAAAATTATAGCCCTGAGACAAAGAGATTAAATCAGAGCATTTTGTCAAAAGCAGCTGTTTTAAGTCCTTCTATAGGAAAAG